GGCCGTGGCTGGTGCCGTGGCCGTGGCTGGTGCCGTGGCCGTGGCTGGTGCCGTGGCCGTGGCTGGTGCCGCGGCTGGTGCCGTGGCCGTGGCTGCTGCCGTGGCTGTGGCTGGTGCCGTGGCCGTGGCTGGTGCTGTGGCCGTCGTGGCTGGTGCCGCGGCTGTGGCGGTGGCCGTGGCTCTGGCTGTGGCCGTGGCTGCCGTTTGGACAGCGTTTGGACTCGGCTTTGGAGAGGGTTTGTTTTACGCTGGGCTTTTGGGCAAAGTTTGGGCTCGTCTTTGGAAAAAGTTTGAGCTTTTGGGCGAAGCAAAGTTAGGGACTTGGGAAAGGTTTGGGCATTTGGTAAAAGTTTGGGGCTTGGCGAAGAGTTTGAGCTTTGGGAAGCGTTTGAGATTTTGGAAGAAGTTTGGGCTTTTGGGAAAAGTTTAGGGCTTTGCAAAAGTTTGGGCCTTGCCAAAGGTTTGGGGCTTTGCAAAAGTTTGGGCTTTGGCAAAAAGTTTGGGCTTTGGCAAACAGTTTGGCCTTTGTAAAAAGTTTGGGGCTTTTCAAAAGTTTGGGCTTTGGCAAAAAATTTGGGACTTTTCAAAAGTTTTGGCTTTGGCAAAAAGTTTGGGGCTTTTCAAAAGCGTGGGCTTTGGCCAAAAGTTTGGGATTTTTCAAAAGTTTGGTCTTTGGCGAGTGAGTTGAGAATCGTCCCAGTCTCAGACCTTATTATATGCATAAGCGACGAAAATGAGTTTATTCGTCCTACCGCACCTTCGCCTGCTCTAAAGTATTGTTTAAGAGAGCCGATAAGTCCGCGTTCAAGAAACGAGATAATTTCTAGGATGTGCATAAACTGGCCAACGAAGAAAAGGGGTGCGCCAGTTAAGGCTAGCTTTTTTTATGGCCACGTGTTACCCCTCGCCAAGCCTTGGTTAATAAAGTCAGAACCTCCTCCGCCAGAAGCCAGCAACAAGGAAGACAGCGAAAGAGAAAGTTTCCCCATGCAACAGGAGTCAGATTCTAGTTCTTCGGGTGTAGATGATACTAGTTCTAGTTCTTCGGGACAGGAATATGCTTCCTCAGCCCCTGGCTTTGAGCGTACGGCTAGGCGAAGAGCGTTGGCACGAAGCAGAAGCTCTCCTTTTTCTGACGATTATGATGCGAAAGAAGTTAGTGAGAAGGAAGAACGACTACGGAGAATTGATTTTTTTTTGGATTGTCAAGCGGAAGCCGTGAGTACCCTCATTCTGCGTGTAGCTAGGAATTTTGCTGCGCCGGTGATGTTAAGGCTACCGTTGAAGCATGCTCCCAGATAGTGTGTGTCCGTCCATCTTCCTTGGCTTCTTTTTCAGTGGGAGAAAGTAGAAGGCCCCAAGTAGATATGACGCTCAAGGATGCGATGCGGTAGCTCTAATGATGGAGCCTGAATTCGCACGTGGTAAGCTAGGGAGTACGGCATTCGACGAGTTGCTCAAAATGGACGGGGAGGAGGACCACGCGGACGGTGGTGGCCAAGATGGTATGGCGGTGGATGCAGACTGTTTAGACGAATCCAGTGAAAGCGGAATAAGATTATGGCCTGCCGCTGTAATTCATCTTGCGAGGCATCTTCGACTTTGACACGTATCCAAGGGGAAAACACTCCAAAGGCAAAGAGGAATATCGGTAAGCTCTAATAAGATTGCCCAAACATCATAGTCCACCATCTTCACGACAAGGACACGAGCAGCACGAACATGTTGGCAACGTCCTCCCGCAAGAGACATGGCCCCACAAGAGGAGGGGCATAAGACCGCGGAACAGATCGCGAAGTCGAAGCTGTTCCTCAAAAGATCGAGAAATCAAAAAAAAGAACAAGATACTTTAAGGCTAAGTACACTATTCGTATTGATCCGTACAATACTATCAGAGGAGGATCCTTAATCCTATTCCTATTGCTCGTTACAATACTGAGCCTGAAGTAAGAACTTATACATTCTTGGAGGAGGTCATAAAAAGCTTATAGTGCTCTAGTAGTACGTACTCTATTACTAAAGCGACGTAGGACTAGTAGTACAACTAGAAGTACATCTAGCACAAATAAGATAGTAAAATCCTTCTGTGTCGGTTTCCTTTTCATCCATCCTCGATATTATAATGTTAATGTGGTTGTGGGGTTTGGTCGTTTTCCTTCCAGAAGAAACTTTGTTAATAGAAATTTTCTCTTTTTTAGCTCTCTGAAAGCTCTTCTTCTAAGTGTTGCGAACTCGCATGATCGGAAGGGTGTCTTCTTCTTCCTCGTCTCATGTGGCTGGCGGGAATCCTAGAGCAGGGGTCAAAGGCCAATTTGCATTTTACTTCATCGATCCAGGGTCTACGGTTTTCGAATCACGATCCATGCCATTTGGACATGAACGCTCCGACTTCAGTTTCAGAGGTCTTTTTCTTAAGGCTACCGCTGAAGCATCCTCAGCGCTCCTATCCTTGGACGGAACGTCTACCACTTCAGAAGAAGAAGGTAAAGAACAAGACGAAGATCTTAAGGAGGCTGACACTGTGGACACGCCGACCATGATGGGTCCTCAAGAACAAACTCGCATGAGCCCCAACCAAGAGAGAGAGGTCCTGGGACATGATTATCCAATGATGATGAAGCCGGACGATCAGCATGGGGCAGACGATGATCCAGTTGAGGAAATTTGGTCTCAAGAGGAGGAAACTACAGCAGCTATCCGTCTCTTTTGGAAAGACGTGCAATGGTCTGTTCTCCGTCACGACCAATACCTTGCGATCGACGCCCTACTGGATAAGCTTTTGGCGTACCTTCTCTTCCGGCAAAAGGTTTACACACATGAGCAAGCTCCAGGAGGACCTTCTGCTAAAGTTGAGGCTTCTCGCTCCCAATCCATTTCGTGAAGGATCATACATAGCAAGGCTCTTTGAAGAGGGGAAAAACAAGGTCTCAAAAAGATCTTCGGGATGGATTTGGATTGGGGTGTGACATCTAATAAAGCGTCTGAAGAAGTGCGTGCACTGTTTGTTGGAGAGTCGTGGTTCCCAGATTTAGCTGGGAAAAGAATCGGCGCTGTGTTAAGAGGGCTCAAAAGAATTCACTTCTACCAGGCATTTCTTCCTTTTTCCTTCTTAGGATTGGGAGCAGAAGTGCAGGCAAGTAGAAGTGAAGTGCTTGGAGCTCCAACTGTGGTTTCTACGGACGCGATGTCGTCGTCCGCTACGCGAGCTGCTATAGACGCGGCGCCAGGCATCCACGCTTTCCTCTTCGATCGTCCGGAGACAAAGCTCTTCGGTCTTAGAGTAGATTCTGACGTAACGCTTTTGAATCGTCGCGACCCGCGTGGGACAGAATACGCCTTCATTTGGCAAAAAAATGCTGTTGAGCAAGGACCCCCATCGGAATGCAAAAAACAAGACGTAGTTTGGTTCTCTGAACGAAAAAAGCTAAAGAGAGCCGTTTTCTTGGACACCGAAGGGACTGAAGGGGACGGCGAAGCCGGATTAATCAATAGAGAAGGGACCAAGCTGGTGAGAACAAGAGCTGCAACAGGCAGAAGCACACCGCTGGAGGCTCTTCGCAGTGCTGGCACCTTGTATTCTGCCGTTTCTTCGCATTACAACATGTTTTACCGTCACGCGCTTGACTTTTTAGTTGATAAGGTCCTAAACGCAGCACGCAGAGACCGAGAGGCTGACCTCTCAGTCGCAAAGGAGCTGCTCGAACGTGTGAGAGCAGAGAAGAAACGAAAATACGACGAAGCTTGTGACACATGGTTGCGCCATTATAGTGCAAACAGACACGTGCTTTTCGACAATTTTCAAAGAGACATCAACTATTTTGGCGCAGAGTTGAATCGCCAATTACTTGCGGAGGAAAACAAAAGAAAGCTTTTGATCCGCATCGCGTTGTATGTGATTTCGCAGCATACTGGCGTACCACGGAACAGGTTGGAGCAATATTATTGGCTGCGAGATGAAGGAGAAAAAAGCCATTTCGACGAATGGGATCATGTTCAGTTGGTGTTATCCGGGCAATTCCTACAGGGCTTGGAGCCTGCCAGAAGCAAGCAAGCTCCTGGACATAAGCTACTCAATGGGCGGGGGCGGGATAATAAGTATCAAAATGGAGTAGATTATAATCAAAATCAATTGCAGGAGCCTGAATCAAGAAAGCGACGAGCTGAGGTCCTGGACTCGTGTGTCAGAGTGTCGCAAAGTAGCAGCATCCAGGCTTGGCAGAACCCAAACGCCGCAAACGGTTTTTGGAACATGCGACCGCAGATGTTTGATAACATGGGAGCTTTGGCTAAGGCGAAGGGGTACCACTCAAGAGAGACTGCACTGACTTCCCGCGGAAGAGAGACTGCAACGTCGTCCTTTCGCTCTATTTCTCATAAGTAGAAAATTATCTAATAAGTTAATAATATTAATAATTTACGACCTCAACCACAACCTATTGATAATATTAATAGGTCGTCTCGAAAATTACTAGTACTACTAGCAAATAACATGTTCTGATGATGAATGCAATGTTTTTAGAGGCTGCTCTGTGGAGGAGGATCTCCTTTCGACGTGCTCTAATGTGCTACTTCGTGGAAATGATCGCTCTGATCCTTTTGAGCCTTTTTTCGATGATTCATCTCCCTGTGGAGGAGGATCTCCTTTTGACGACCACAATGCTCCGTCCGCAAAGCCAAAGTTCAGTGGCGAAGGTCGTGGTGGTGGAGGAGGACGTAGTGCTGGTGGACGTGGTACAGGAAATGGCGGACGTGGTGCTGGTGGACGCGGTGGAGGAGGTGCTGGCTTCATTGGAGGAGGTGCTGGCTTCGGTGGAGGAGGTGCTGGCTTCGATGGTGGTGGTGGAGGAGGAGGAGGCGGTGGGGCGGGAGGTGGTTCACTTAGCGGTGGCGGAAATGGTCAAAGAACCCAGCACACGATTGGTGGAAGTGATGCCACCTATGGAGATCATGGAGGTCGTCAGCATGGTGAAGGCCAAGGAAACGGAAGGACGAACTCTGGTCCCACTCCTGCTGACGGCCAACTACGCCAGGATGGCCAAGGACTCCTACAAAAAGTAGAGCCGAAAGTAGATATTGAGGAGTTGACTTTTGTTAAACTTTTGCATGCTGATGAGACGCGCGCTCGTGAAACTTTCGAGAGTGGGGAATTCAAGCATGGCCCTCGCTTTCAGATTTTCCTCGGCAAAGAAGACGAAGCTGCTCGCTGGGGTTCGACAGAGCTGCTCATGAACATTTACAGTTCGCCTCATGATTCACAGATCCGTGAAAGCGCTTTCAAGCATGAAGCTTTGCTCTTGGCATTGGTAAAAATTTTGGATGGCCTGAAGAGCACACTTCAGAAATGGCTAAGACGACAGAGAAATCTACGTCTTAAGCACTTTACACCTCCCGATGTACCGCTCCCCGACGAGGACATGGAGGCTGGTTTCTTTCATAGAGCAGCTTCCGACGCAGGACCCGATCACTACGATGAGCCTGTGCTTGCTGTACTGGATACACCACGAGAGGAAGGATCCGATCACTACGATGAGCCTGTGCCTGCTGTACTGGATACACCACGAGATGAAGCAGACATCAGTAGTCACTACAGTACTAGATCTTCTACAAGTACGAACAGTTATTTGCACAACGACAACAACAAGAACTGGGCCGGGTTTCATGGCAGTGCTGCGATGCGGGGCCTACCACGAATCTACGAAGTAAACGCCTTTAGAGACTGGGATGAGGAAGTACAAGACGAACCGCTTGGTCCCACGCCTACGGAGAATGATCCTCTACCCAGACGACCTAAGAACTTAGCCGACTTTGATACTACGCCTGCTTCGCATGCAACGCGTGACGGCATGCATCGTGAATGGCTCAAATGGGTCTCAAAGTTAAGGGCACGACCTACTTTTGTTGTTGACACAGCATCTTTGTTGTTGACACACCATCTTCTAGATCATTTAGCCTTCTTCTAAGTAATGAATTTCTATCGTATTTTTGTCTTTATCCGTAGAGAATATGGGTCGTCCCCTACAAGATGTACTACTTAGTTGTACAACTTACTATTTCCAAAAGTTGCATTATATGCATTAATAGAGGGGCTCTTTTTGTAAGCTGTACCTCGAACAAAAAGTGAGGAACGGATCGAGCTGGAAGCGGCATGGCGACGCCGAGAAGGAATGGTTCTCTCCTTCGTCCGTGGCTTCGAGTACATAGTGGACAGTTATCAGAAGACGGCATCCCGATTGCGCGAGGATGCCTTGAAGGACTACAATCGTGAAGATGATTTCGGACGCTCCTATGATTACCGACGGAGGTTTTTTGCACCTTTGGAACATCTAGAAGAGGCAGCAGCTTCCGGCATCCGCATCCTCGCAATTCGATCTCATGAGGAAGAGCTTGAAAGTAAGAAAGTTGGAAAAAGGCCAGATGACCCAGATTTTCCCGTGGATCCTCCGGAAGATGCGCACCCTATATTCACAGACAAGAAGTGGAGACATCTAGTGACGTATGTTAAGGCCGCTAGTCTTTCACTATCCTTCTGCTCCCTTGTGTGGAGTATTTTTCACTATCACGGTTTTTAAAGCGGGGGAATCCACTCAACCAGGCGGAGGCATAGTGAAAAACTGTAGCGCCAAGTATGGGAGAACTCGCTGGAAAAGCATCATGGAAGAGTGTGTGGATCTCGTTGTCTCTGTTCCGGACACCGAGACAGTAACGGAACTCTTTCCCCGCCTACCGGATGAAGCACAAGCACAGGCTATGGGCATTAATAGAGAAGGACTAGACGAACAATTTGACTCACGAAGTAGAACGAACCCTGCCCAATTTCTACCCGACGAGGCCGGGAGGACGAGAGCGAGCGACTATCGTCGTGCGCGACCAGTTATTGACCCAGCACCTGCTTACTATCAAGGGATTACAAACAATCCGCCACCACCAATAATTCCGGAAAATCGGCAGATACGCATAGAAGGGTATGATGATCATATTACCCTTGAGGAAAATGATAATAGGAACACGCAACAACAACCTGAAAATGATGAAGTAGTAAACACACAGGAGGAAGGCGAGTCTCCACTACACCACGATCCGGGAATGACAGTCGAGGACAACAAACGATTGGACGTGTTCGAAAGACTCATTGCCAATTTCCCTGATTTTTTGGCGCAAATCTTAGCTGCCTCCTCGAACTCAGTCGTGACCAATCGAGCCCACACTACGCCCACATATCCGCATCAGCAGCGCCCAACGGAAGACCTAGTCCAAAGTGGCGAGAAGAAGCGTCTTCTTGAGGCGCATTTGAGGTCGACAGCGGCGCTTGTGGGGGATCCGCTGACGGGGCTACCCCTTTTTGAAAATTTCGCCTTTCTGGAAGAAGACACGACAGGAATGTTCGACTTAAGGCAATTTCATCTATCTTCATCGTAGTTTCTTGTATTTTCAGCTGCCAGTTGATGAACATGAAGATGATGCTTATTCAGTTTCTACCGTGCTGGATCTTCCTCTTGATCATGGGAGGTTCTGCTTCTCCTGGTTCATCATGGTCGTAAAATGAAAATAGTACTACCTCTACATCATGTAGTTCTAGTTGTAGAAGGACCAAGTTGTGCCGCTCTAACAAGCGCACGTGCATATGAAAGGGACGAGGTAGAGGCTGTTCGACAAGAACTTGAGAAGATGACGATCAAGAAGCCTATCAAGCCTCGGAGTCCTCAGCGGGGTCAAGGTGAACGGGAAGGTTCCCTGGAGGCGGAGATGTCAGAAACAAGGAGAAAAGAAATGCAAGATTTTGATGTCGGTACCGTTAAGGCTCCAGTGCTTGTGCTATCTTGCTCTTTCTTGCAAAAATCACAAGACAGATTCGTTGATATACGATCCAACTTCTTTCGACTACAAGTCTTGAATTTGGTCTCCCTGCCATGATCATGTTCTAATAAACAACTAAGTCTTGTTGTACATCATGGACTATATTAAGCATATCAACTACAAGGTGAAAATCAAGTTCAAAATGTTGGTGTATTCTTTCTTCTAATGTGCACGTGCAGCAAGATCCTGTTGCTCCTGGTTCTGATTCTAGTTCTGAGGCAGCAAGCTCCATCCACGTGTTTGAACCGCCGTTGTCGGGAGCAGCTGCATCATCTGGGGCTGATTCAAAACTGTGGACGTTCAAAGAATCAGCTTCGCGGCTAACGCATGAAGAAACGTCAGTCAAGAAAGCAAGACGACATTTTTTGTTAAGGCTTAATATTCTGGGTAAAAACAGTATTCGAAAACTCAAAATAAGCGAGTTACTGACTGAAATAAGAGGGTCTTGACTAGTACCCTCCTCTTCTTTCAGTATCTTCCTTATTTTCAATAGTTACTCGGTTATTTCAGTTTATCGAATATTAGTTTTAGTACTAGTTGCTCTTGCTTAAAAAGATTATACTGATACAAGTAGTACTAGAACAAGACTCGTTCGAAAGTGCGTCTACATCCTTCAGCTAGAGCTCGAGCTACTGCCTTCAATGCTGATTCATCTTTTTCAAGTACTGCACTGTCATTTTCTTGTCTCCAACTTGTACTTTTCACGTCTGCTACTGTGAAGTCTGCTAGTTCTGGTGCTCTCCCCCATAGTTCTGCTAATTCTCGCAGTCCGTGAAATATTCGTACGCGTGTTGGCCTATCTTGCTCAAGTTGCCGGAGAAAGATGGCAGATAGTAACGCATAAGAAGAACCCTACAGGGCAAGAAAAAGGCACCAAGTCTGCTGAGGGACTCAATAATGAAGAACGAGCACAAGTTTTGTTATGACACCAAATGAATTATGAGCTACCCTAGATGAACTATAAGAAGCCCTACGACTAGTTCGCTTCGTATATTTTTTCATCGTTCAGTAGAAGTAGATTCTCTTATATCTCAAAAAACAATGACTAGATTTTGTTGATCTTGCTTATGCTTCTTTCTTTATGACGTAACAAGCAGCAGCGAAAGCGATGGCGATCTTCATCTTCTAATATGTACTGAGCTTGAGCGATTAGGCGTGATGCCAGTACAGCTTGTGCGTCCAAGGGGTGGGGCTACGACTCTGGAAAACACAAGGCGTGCTGTAGATCAAGGAGAGGACGTCACGACTCGTAATCTTATGGTCGTATTCAACTACACTTCGTGTTTCTTACTGTCTAGTTTGTAACGCTAACGCCCCCCCGTTGCAAATATTATACAGTACCCGAATCAATATGAATATTCTCAAAGAAGCTTCGGTCGCCTTAGATGAGAAGACCTCCTCCAGGGCAGTCGGACGACAGACGGCGCCTAGATTAAGCGGGTCCTATACTGGATGGCCAATTTTGCTAGTCCTATTTTATATACCTCTTCCGTTTTTCTATCTTTCCTTGGTAGGTTGGCTCCACCACAAATATTCTCAAAGATGTGCGACCACATGACAGAATCAGCTAAATTATATGAAGGCGACGCATGCTCCGAACGGCTGCGATCAACCTCCTCATCCTCTAACAGCATACTACTTGTTCGCGGCGACGCGATGTTTCGGCATGACAAGATTACATCTCCTAGAATACCTGCAGCGAGACGTGGAGGGGGCGGTGATGAGGGTGATCCAGTAGACGCTGTTGACGGAAATGATGAAACCTTTTGGCACGAGGAGCTTGGGTCTATAGCAGCCGAAGATATCCATGAGATGTTTAATGCATTTGCTTGAGCTTTTTAGCCTATTTAAGTAAACTACAAAGCTAGTACAGAACAACCGTTTCGTTCGTTGGAGATCTCAAAACAATATCAAAAAGTCATTGATGAGAAGTCGATCTAGAAGAACAAAAAGTACTATCGTATTTCCGGCATTGTATTACATAACGTGTCTACAACAAGAACAAGAAGATGAAGCCTTTTTATACTGTAACTTACTCATACTCATAGTACCCAACAACATGTTTCTTCGAGTACTAAATCTAAAATCAGGAAGTTTATGAGGAGCTATTAAGCAGAAAACGTCGTGAATGCAGTTGCAGTAGAACAACATATCTATACTATAGGGTGGATCTACGTAGGATCAGAAGAGGACTAAGATTTGAATTTGTGTTTCTCAAGAGATCACCTAAGAGCGAACTTTTATATTTTTGAAATACTACAACATTGATAGTAGTTGGTATGATTGACGATGTCCGGTTGTCTCTTGATAAGATATTGATGAGTAGATGTAGGACTAGACGCTCGTATTCTACGCACTGTCCTTTCTGCTTGAAAGCATATCAAAACTTACTACACCATAATTTTTTATGGTCATGTCCTTCTTCATACAATAATTTCGGTTGCTGCAGCATCTATGACTAATATGTTGGAGCATTATTTTTTTTTGGAAAATTTCTCAGACAGGTCAAAAAAAATGGTCGACACGCACAAACAAGAACAAGGAAAATCGTCTTCACTCATTAAAAATCAACAAGCCCTTCCCTTCGTTCTCTTCGAGGGAGGGCAACTCCAACTACCTTCAGCAAACAAGAGCTGTAGTCGAAGTTGATTAACAGGTTAGTAGTGCGTTTGTGGCTACACATATGGATATACATATTCGCTCGATGATACAGGCCTACCTTGTGGGGGGCGAGTCAGATCCTGTCCTATGTTTCCTATCATGCCTCCTTCTTGGTCATGATCTGGAGGTTCTGTCGCCTCAAAATTGTGCACAAGAATGGCTAGCAAGAACTACTAATATGTGAAATTCTTGTTGTTTCTCAAATTGACTATGTCTATGTGCAAAGCATCATTAACCCGACACTGCCAGTGGCAGTCACACCCACTGCAACAAACATCACACAGCACACCTCTAGAGCAAACAACCAAAGCCATGGCCCCTGCAAGATCGCAAGCCAGATAGCTTCTAACTCTAATTCTAATTCTCTGCTGCTTGAAGCGGTACAAAAGCGCAGAAGAGGATATGTCTGGAGCATGATCTCTACTAACCATTCAATGGTCAACACACTAGCACTAGGCTTTTAGAAATCAACTTCTACTCATTGAAAATTTAATAAAAAAATCAATCCAAAGCAGGAGGAGGAGTTTTTGAACGTGCACATAGAATGAACAATTTTTCTTCCTGAAAAAATATCTATCAGTTAATAACTTGTACTTGACGTCGACGCGCCGGCGCTTCCGGAAAACTACAACTGAATACTTATAATGATTGATGAAAAACAATACTATTGTCCTACTCAGGTGGATGAACATCAAAGACCCAACAAGAAGTACTAGTACTTGTTCTAGCAATTTAACATTAACTAAGATTGATTGGATGAGCAGGAGTCTTTATGAGATTCGGCGGGATTAAATCATGGATCATGTTGCACCTTGGACGAGTCGAGGTAGTTGCACACTCAGATGAATCTCAATACTTACGTATCGCCGTTCTGTTTGATGTTGATGATATAACTTAGCCGATAAAATAAAGTATGAAAAGTAAGTGCGACTCTTCGATATAATTGGCGTAGAATAATCTGGTCTTTCGTACGCTGACACGTCGTCTGTCTTTGTCTTCAGAGGAGTGTCTGACGACGAGACATGGACGACCAATGCCAATCCTACTCCTCTTCTATACGTTAAACTAAGTTCTTAGGCACCAGTAAGGGCCACTACAACTTGAAATTGTATTGGAAAGGTAGTCATTTTTACCTTTACCTTGTGGCCGATTACTACGCAATATGTTCTAACATTTAGTTGGAAAAATGTGTATTAATATTAATCCCACCGAAGTCCAATCATGAAGTTGAAGACCTAAACAGCATCAAGAATATGCTGGGAAGAAAGATGCGCACCAGGCCTCATCGGCTCCAGGCACGAGTACGCCTAGCTTGTCTAAAGAGAATAAAGACTCCGAAAAAGAAGCGTCCTCGACTTCGTGATGTGCAGGAGCAAACCGCGAGACAAGTTTATACCCAGGTGGAGTCAAATTCCACCTCGAACGAGTTCGAGACACAAACCGAAAACAAGATGTCGAACATGACTAACAGTATGACCCGTGGTGCCTCTAAATCTGACTTTGGCGTATCAACATTGACCCGGGATGCCTCTAAGTCTGACTCTGGCGTATCAACATTCACGCGTGATGCCTCTAAGTCTGCTTCTATTAAGGCTTGTCCTAATCCATCTGCATCTTCTGAAGCATCCTGAGTTGTCGGCTTTTCAATGGGAAAAGGCGAGCAAGATGCTTCTCAGGATGGATTAGGGTGGGCTCTAACTCTGGCATACTCCAGAAGGAGAACTGCGCTAAGGCGACCCGCCAACAGTATCGTGAGCATCTACATAGTCCTCCCAGTACAGCGTCACGCTGCTCGTTGTCATGCCTTTCTTCGTTGTTGAACGAAACAGGAAATCGAGAGCTACAACGATCTTCAAGCAGCAGATCGAGAGCAGCTACTAGTACATCAATTAGTAATTATCGAGCAGCTGGCAGTGGCACAACTAGCGGACGAGCACGACGTCTTTGTTCTCTTCTCCTAGTATTCGGGAATCTGCTTGATGTGACAGTTGCCGCCGTTCCCGACGTTCGTTTTCATGAAGCTTCATCTTCTTGGGGATGTGGTGGAGAAGCAGAGATGATAGATGGCGAAGACGAAGAGATGATAGATGTCGTGTCACCTCCTGGATGCAGCAGTGGTGAAGAAGAAGAGATGACGGAATCGGATGTCGAAGATGAACCTCGTAAAAAAAAGACAAAAGGGCGCACAATTTTGCAGATTGACACCCTTGCTTTTGCGAAAGGTTTACCGGTAAGCGAAATTCCAGTAAGTGCTTGGAAAACCACGATAAGGGTGGAGCAAGAATATAGAAAGCAGAAAGCTGATGTCTCGATGGAGCAAGATGAAATTCTACCACTACAAGACGAGCCAGAAGAAGAAGACGAGTCTTCAGACGAGTCCTCAAGCGACTCAAATCCTGTAGGAGAAGAGATGCTACACGAGGATGAGCAACCTCTTGAAACGCAGCCTTCATCTGGGTTCCAACATCCGTCGAAACGACCACGCGCAGGAGGATCTCATGCTTCTGTAATACTTAGAGACGACCTTGATGCACGTGCTTGTTCTTCTAGAACATCCACCTATTATGGTGCTCCTCTTCCTGATGCAGTTTTTTCCGTCCCTTTCCCTGGAGGACATAGCTCTGAACAAGTTCCATCCTCAGGCCAGGTAACAATAGGTGGCTTGTCCTCGTCTGTTGGAGGAGGAGTTGGAGGCGTAGGAGGTCGTGGACTCGTCGCTGCTGTTCCTGCAAAAGGGAATCCAGAGTTTTTCCCCTGTTATGATCACGATTCTCATTCAGCAGGAGGAGGAGTTTCAGCACAGGCGGAGGAGTGTTTCACCACAGGTGCAGCAGCAGGAGGAGGAGTTTCAGCATCAGCTTCTGGGTCTGGCTCTGCCGCCGGAGGTGGAGGTCGGATTTCAGCAGGACTTGAACAGCATGTGGAGCATGAACATCCTGGAGGCAAGAGAACAACAGATAGCAGCAAGAACAACGCTCTTGATCCAGATCCACACAGGAGACCCAGTGCTGTTCCACCTCCTCCCGAGCTAGATTATATCATGGGCTCATCTAAAAGTTCTCCTCTACTGGTTGGTGTATCATCATCATCATCATTGGTGGGGGTACATCATACGAGTAGTTCTTCATCATCATCTGGGGGTAGGAACACCTCTCAAATGGATGACGTCATTATGACCAGTTGTCAGCCCAGCGCTTCAACAGGAGTCATCATCGACGAACATGATGGAAACCCTGGAAGTAAGACTTCTGCACGTCGTCTTGCTATAGCAGGAGCTTCTGTAGAAGGTGAACCTTCGTCTATGATGATTCAACAGATGGAGACGACGTCACCATCCTCACAAGCACAACATCAACCACCACTAGTCCCGCCAGCACCACCTGCAACAGCGAATGTTGAGCAGGGGACGCAGCTCCACTTGGGACCTAGTCTAGAAGACGCAAAGGCCTCAAGCACCGCCTCGCTTAACCTACGCGACCCCGAATTTGAAGGCACGAAACTAATCTCTGCGAACCCAGGTGGGGACGAAAAAACACCTGGAGTATCAGCGAAACAGAAAATGTTGCGACGTTTTTTTCTGTTTCGCGCACTAGATCCTAACAAAGTAGACGACGGATGGCTCCAAACACCTGAGAAGGTGCACAAGTATTTTGCCAATAATCTTCGGTCTAAGTTAAGGCTATCGCTATGATCAAGATCAACTTCGTTCAGCTACAGCTTCCTTCAGAGGTGGAAAAAGAAAAACAACTTCAACAAGTTGGAGGGATAGTAAAAATTCAAAAACTAGAACATTTAAAGTAGAAGTTGACAGGAGGAGGAGCTCTTCTAAGTAAGAAGGATCCTTTGGTTCCTCAATTGGAGCAAGAATGGGAAAAGGAAATCGATGCCCCGCCATTTTCGACAACAAGTCGAGTTTACTACAGAATCACAAACGTTCTGAGTGAGACGAGAATGGAAAGAGATTATGAATTCAGCGAAAAGTGTCCTGTCTGTATTCAACATTCTCACAGGAAATTATGATTACTAGCTAGGATTTTGCCCTTATTATTTATGAAAGATGAAAACAGTGCACTCACACTCAAAAAAACTGGCTACTTTCCTACTTATAAATCCTAGCCACTTTCTTGAGTGTGAGTGCACCTGCGCTTTTTCGCTTCATATTGATACTTTTTACTTACGTTTTACTTTATAAGTGGGAGAGCAAAGTCTGTAAGTCTTCTAGTTCTTCTACTAACTTCTAGGTAGATCTAGTGGCCCAGAAGAAATGAGACGAGGAGGAGAACAAACAGGAGAGGAGAAGACCACATCCAATTCGATGCTGCTGCACTCTCTGATTTTAGAACAAGCAGATCCGTATTATACTGAGCGGCTAGATGTGAACGGATATTTTCGCAGCGGCCCATCAGGAGAGTGCTTGTCACATGTTCGAGGCATTGCTGGAAAAGCAAAAGCTCTTTTGAAACGTTTGCAGCAATACGCTTTCCAAAACAGGTGCGTAAATGCTGCCGCGACGGAGTGGTTCTCTAGTGCAGATAAACCAGATTTGGTGCGTGAGAGACCTGCGGTGAATCTAGAAGTCTGGCGCGACATCTTCGATGAGCACATTCAGAAAATGGAGGAGCTCCGGTTACTGCGTTACTATTATTTGCAGATTTTCTGGCATATTTTCTCCACCTGGAGGCTCGGCGACGCCTTGGTTGCAATTAAGCGACTGCTGCGCGTGTGGCTGGGCTTCGAAGCTTCAACAGTACATACGCTGCGGCGCGTATATTGGATGAAGAAAATGAATTACGACCACTATGATCCTGGCGATGGAGAAGTCATAAGACGACACGAGAGGGAGGAGCACATAAATTCTTTACTGGAGCCGTACCTGGCTTCTTTGGCAGAAGAGTCGCAAGATGTGCACCAAGCGAGACCAGGGAATTTCCAAGAAGACAGCACAGGAGCAGAAGCTGCTGCTATTAAGACCTCTCTGGGAAACAATAACTTCAATCCATTTATCCATTTTTCAACTTTCCCAAGAACATCAATGATCTATCTTTTCCCGCTTGTGAAAGGTTTAGAATCCTCTAACGTTAGTGTTAGAAGAAGTTTGAGTTTTACCGAACGATATAGCTGCCGCATCCCGGAAGCCATTCGGAGGAAAGCCTTTGGGGACTGTCCAGATGCGCCAAAGCCAAAACAGAAGCCACAAGACGAGACACAAGTAACAACACAAGTGATTCGTGATCGTCAACTATCATTAACGGAGGACCTTTACCTTTTGATTCAAAAATTTTTAGCGGCGCATGGTGAAACAAGTAGTTCAGCTGGTCTCCCAAGAACTGCAGGTCGTGGTGGACCTTCAGATTCGGTCCCTGGTGGAGCTTCAGCATCAGTGGCAGGTCATGG